AGCTACCTCAGGAAATAAAGGTGGTAGTTTTACATCCACAGGGACCCCCTGACTGCGGTCATTGTCTCTTTAGGAAGACGGGATCATCACTACTACTAATAATAATGTGTCATCAAGTCAGTTCTGACTTAAGGTGACCCTTTTTAGGGTACTCCAAAAAGAGAATGCTCTTGGGGAGCCTGAGACTGTGGAAATTTCCCACAGCTACACAGGCAGGCTCTTATCTTAGGTGGGGAATTGAACTCCAAACCTCTGGCTTTGCAGCCGGTTATCTAAACCAGTGCTCTCCAACCTTTTCTGAGTCACGGACCAGTTGGGTGGGGGGTCTGTGCATGGGGGGGCAACCCCTGCGCTTGCAGGTGTGCGGGGCACGCACGTGGAGGAGCAGAGTGCGCTCGTGCACATGCGCAAAGGGGTGGAAGGCACTCACGGAAGGGTGGAGTGTGCTCACGGACATGCGCAAAGTGGTGGAGCATGCTCGCAGAGGGCAGAGCATGCTTGCGCGCATGTACAAAGAGGCGAGGGTGCTCGCAGAGGGGAGGGGCACACTTGTGCACATGCGCAGAGGGGAGGGGCACACTCACTGGTGGTTGGGGCACCCATGCGTGCAGGTGTACACCCATGCGTGCAGGTGGGGTGGGTGGGTGGAGTGCATGTGGGGGGTGGGAGATCTCTCTCCGCAGCCTGGTCCTGCCATGGCCACGAACTGGCACCAGGCCACGGACCAGGGGTTAGCAACCCCTGATCTAAACCCCTGAGCTATCCAGACAGGGATTTTCATAGGAAGGCATTATTTATTCTATCTTAACAATTTTACTACAGATTTAAGTACTGGGCTGGGCTGGTTTTTGCTGAGGGAAGAAGAAAGTAGGAGTGGGGAACCAGTTTTGTAGGCTGTGTGCATTTATGAGCCAGAGTTGTCACCATTTCTGGGAAATTGACTTCAGCAGAATAATGCAATAAACACCGCCTTCTTGCATGGACTAGCAAATGTCGTCGCATGGAATGGGACGCTTACTTAGAGTTAGAGGGAATGTTCTGTTAGAACAGCATGACAGTGGGACCAATTACCGCAGGAGGTGATGAGTGCTCCAGTGCTGGAGGAATTCAAGAGAAAATTGGACAACCAGATCTGCTTTGACTGGGATTCCTGCAGAGGGTTGAACTCAAATGGCTTTACAGGCTCCTTTACAGCTCCATGATTCTATGATTCCATGAAGGTATTCTAAGAACAGCATATTGAAGTTGCCTGTTTACTAGGACTCACTGCCAGGCCTATTCGGCGGATGTTTATTCTAATCATCAAACCAAAACAAAGTCAAAAAGCACGACAGACCCAATAACCATTGCCAGGATGAGCAGTGTTACCTTTCGGTTTCTTCGGACACGATGCCCCTGTCAACATGTAGCCACTCGTGAGCATGTCCAGCGTAAGTAAGTTGTCATCGCAGGAGTACCGTTTAGTGCTAAACAGAGAAATTGGAGTCTGAGGAATGGGATGACTCTATTGCAAAAGCAGGAGGGTTGATCCTGGCCAACGACACTTTAGGAACTGACTGAAGGCCAAAAAATGAATAGGGAGCTTCTACTTCAGGTCCTGTGTTTGCACCATCATGGACTATATGAGCTGTTTGCCTTTTAAAACAGGTGTGGATGGGTGCCCAGCACCTCCTCATGTGAGCAGTGTCCTTTTCAGTCAACTATTGCTCTACCCACACTCAAGCCAAGATGGTCAACGCTTGGTTAGAGTGGGAAGAGGGGCAGAGGCTTTCTAGATGGTTTTGCGAATACCGGAACAACCTAACGTGGTTCCAGAAATTACCTCAGCCTTGGTCTAATTACACTAGCAGAATTTTCTGTACCCTGTTAGCATTACTACATACTGGATCCTGGTAATAACCTATTATTAAGGACTGCAAATCGTAAGGAATCAATTTGGGTGTGATTTGCTTTGGAGATAATAATTGTCTGGACATTAGCCTTAAAATGCAGTAAATTGATAAATAATTGAGAGCCAGTATGGCCTTGGGATTACACAGGATGGGCTGTCTCTCTCAGGAGCATATGACACTCCAACCCGCTTCGAATCCATTAGGCCTGTAACGCACCCCATAAGTGGAGCAGCAAAGGCCGCAGCTCTTCGTGGTGTCAGAGAACTTTTAACATGTAATTTATTTACAACATAAACAAACAAAACCATGTAAACATCAAATAAACAATTAATAAGCCTCAACGCCACATAGTGCTCCCGCCACCAAACACTAGCACCAAGAAGGAGTTGCCGCAATTTATTTCCGTTCGCCTTCCAAAGTTGTAATGATTCTTATTAGGGGACTTTATTTTAACTTGTTGGCATCCTCTCCAGCCTGTTAGAATGAGTCAGATTTATTTTATTTTGTTTCACTGGAGGTAAGTACCATCCCCAATTTAATTTATATATTTTTTAAAAAATATTTTATCCTTACCTACATAGATTTCAATATTCTAATATTCCACATGTACGCCTGGTTCTTATTTCTTCCCCCAGACCATATTCCCATAAAGGGGTGTTTATCCCACAGATGTGCTAACTATTCTCTCCCAGGCCTCATTGTTGTGAGTGGTCACACTGAGAGAGATGAGGATGGTCTGAACTAGAACCTGGGCCTTCTCAGTGGTGGCCCCCGCACTTGGAAATACATTAGTCTCCCTTTAGAGATCTAGCAGGCCTCCTCCCCTCCCTTTAAAAATACTTCTCAAAACCACACTTTTAAAGGATGCCTTTAAAGATATCCTCCCCCTCAGGTAATCTGGTCTGTGACCCGTGTGGCACCTGAGGTCTGTTGACATTATTCAGTCTTTTAGCCTGGTTATCTATTTGGTTGAGTTTTATTGGTTTATGGGAATAGTGGTTTCCACTAAATGGAGCATTATATGCGTGCTAGAAATAAAATGTTTAAAGTAAATCCTCCTGATCTTCTGCTTTACCTACTCTCTGTTTCATTAACTTATTTTCATCTGCACTTTCCTTTTGTAATATGATCACTTCAAATTTTGTAACTTCTCCACATTTACTATGTTTTTTTTTACCGGATCATTCATCTATTGATTTAACTGGTGTCAGAGGATACAGAAATACTCTCCTCCTTATATTCTGTGAGAGAACACCAGAGGAAACAGACAACTGAGGGATTCGTGCATCCTCTGTGGGTTACTCCTGTTTCACTGCCTGTCAGTTGGAATCGTGGGGCCAAGCACTCCTTAACTGTCAAAAACTAGAGCATCAGAAAGTTCTACCTCATCTAGTCTTCTCCTTGAAAAGCAAAGTTTCTCCATTCAATTTTTTTTATTCAAAGAACGAACCAAACTTCTGCCATTGTGTCAGTAATATCAACGGAATGAATGAATGAATGAATGAATGAATGAATGAATGAATGAATGAATGAATGAATGAATGAATGAATAAATAGTTCTCATCCAGGAAAACCATTATCCACCTTCCTGGATGCCAGCCACCCACACAGGTTAGAACCATATAACAGAGTTCTAAGTTAAATGGTACAAATTTTAGAAGTCTGTAGAAAATTGTATTGTCTTATTGTTTCTTGCATGTATTTCTACACCTGTGGAAAATGGGCTTCAGGGGGAAGGCTAGGTGAAAAACACCTTATGTTCTACTTTTCTACAGCCAGGGAGATTTTAATGAGAGGTCTACTCAAAACAAGTAATCATTCACCTGCAGTCTGAACAGATACCATCCCGGGAATCATGTATAGTACTGTGTAATTTATTTACAAATGCAACCTAGTTATTTTGTAGCCTCTGGCCTCATGACTGCTAGGAGCTCCAGGAATTTGGAGACTTCTGGTTCTGCCTTTCTTTTTTCCTGTTGTCACACAGGTGGTGCACAAATAAAAAATGATGCCTCTGTATTTTTTCAGAGATTGACCCCATCGTGGGCTTACCTTAATTCTCGGCAGTCTTTACAGGTGTCCTTAGTAGCCGGGGCCAGAGGAAAAGCACGACTGGATGGGTTTACTATAGAGCACAGAGAAAGGGGAAAAGTTCCATTTTAGATACCCGTCTAAATTCCACTCAGATCAGAAATGCAGCTGATTTCATATATTTACAAAGATTCCCTACCCCCTGGCTCCCCAGATGTTCTTGAACTACAACTCCCAGAAATCTTAGCCAGCGCAGCTAGTGGTGAAGGCTTCTGGGAGTTTTAATCCCAAAACAGTGCAGAAACCAGACCAAATCACAGAACAAATACTGTTACCTGGAAAAATCCTACCAAAGCCTTGGGAGAAACATTTCAACCTTTTTGGATAGGTTAAAATCCCTACTAAAGTAGAGAAACCATCCAAGGATGGAGTCATGAGAGGAATCTTTGCCATCTAAGAAATCCCAGAGAGTATGATTGGCAACCCAGGAGGGTTGACTTTGGCGAGAGAGCTAAAGTTCCTCAACCTTGCCCTAAACTGTGGTTTAATCTTAATTGGGATTTGTTGAAACAAGCCGTCTTCCTAAACAATGGTTTGAAGGTGCCTTTTCCTAATCAAATCATAGTTAAATCAACCAGACTTTGTTGGCTTGGGTGACACAGCAAGCTGTGGTTAATCTTAAACAGAAGTCAATGTTTTTAACTTCCTTGCAGCTGTACGGGTAGAGCAGACAGTATGAAAATTCAGGTTTGGCCCTACTGTTAGACAGTATGAGACAGTAAAATAGCTCTGGGTACCATGAAAGTGCAGTAAATTGTTAGTTTCTTAGAGGGTGACTACATGGTCAAATACCATGGGATTTGCTCTGCTGATAAAATGGATGAATTTGATTTTTTTTTTTTTACTGTCTGCAAGACATACAAGGCTGATTCAAATTGGTCCATTCCCTTTGCTGCCTCTAGAGAGCTGCAACTTGTTCATAATTGGAGGATTTGATTGGACTTTCCCCCTGCAGATGTTGTTGTGAAGATGTGTGCGTATGCGTGTGTGTGTGTGTCTGTAGTGCCAGCATTCATTTCTTTCTACAAAGCCTCTCCGCTCCTGAGCCACTTGTCTCTTTTTTAAAAGGTTGGGTGCAATGTTCCCTCTCAGCTGCACGTCCACACGCTTGCCCAGAGCTCCACCAGGGTTGTGCCCGGGCAACCGGTAGCCAGCTTGTTTACTTTCCATTTTGAATGAAGCCTTGCCCATCCCTCCACACGCTTGCCCAGAGCTCCACCAGGGTTGTGCCCGGGCAACCGGTAGCCAGCTTGTTTACTTTCCATTTTGAATGAAGCCTTGCCCATCCCTGTGCACACCTGCACAGCAGGATAGAAACTTAAGGGGAATGTTGGGTGGGTGTGATGTGTGGTGCTGGGGGGAGTGCAAAAGCAAAGCACCACAAAGATTTGCTTTGATGTTGCTTTCTCATTTAAAGCTTCAGAAAACTTTTCAACTGAAAAATAATGTGGAAAAGGTACTTCGTAGAATACAGCACGTCTAAAGTATGAGCAGTAAATTTGCAAAATGCATAATAATCCACAACTCAGAATGATTCCATTTGGGATCACACCCTTCCTACCACTCATCAGTCATCACTTTCCCTTACTTTTAAATAACGCATGGAAAAATTACTGATCTCTGGTGACATAAACTAGTTTAAATTAGCTTAAAACTACATATCACCACAAAGCAGTGATTCCTGCACACATTACTTGAAAGTGAGGGAAGGTAGTAACTGATGAGTGGTGGGAAAGGGGTGGTCCCAAATGGAATCATTCTGAATCGTGAATATTTTATAAAAATGCTGTTCAAACTTTTGATGTTCTCTGTTCTGAGACTATGAGGTACCTTTTCCATGTTACTTTTCTATTTCTATATAAACGTTTTTCAGAAATGTAGTAGTGTGAAGCTTGAGTGGGAGCCAAGGAAGTTCTACCTGGCTTGTCTGCAAAGAATGCCTGGTACATTTTGCGCTGGCCCATACCCCCTCTCTGGGTCCCTTTGAACCATATCGGGGGACACTTGCAACTCTTCTCCCCGTTTCTGCACCCCCAGCATCCTGGCATGCAACCAACGCATCCACCAACCCCTACCGTGACCATTCCCTGGCTGCACATATAAGAATCCTATCCCATCTGGGGGATTTTTGAGACAGTTCAGTTGGATTTCAGCTGCTTCCCCCTGTCCTTTAGAGAAAGTCTCACTGTGCTTTGTGGGCAACATATTCCTTGGCTCTCAGCTGACCTCCTGAATCTGCTTTCTCTCTTGCTTAGGGTAGGGGACTCCTCTGGGTTGAAGGATCAGCAGAGGTGGGACCAGGAAGGAATAGGGAGGTTGTGGGCTGGAATGTAAATTGCATCACAACTAGCATGAAGAATGGGGGATGACGACTCCCAAATCAATCTGCACCCCTCCCCATGTGAGCACTGTTCGTGATTTCAGATGTAATGCAAACTGTTAATCAACCCGCAGCAAAGTCGAATCGTTCCGATTCAGCTCTCCAATGTCGTTGCACCCTGTCACTGCATAGCTACTGCCATTATTAGTAGTAATTCCCTCCTTTCCAGGGAACCTTGTGAATAGCTGAACCCGGAAAAAAAATGTCACTGTATATCTTCCCACCCAAGTAACAATAATTACACTGTCTTGCTAAGTCAAACAAGGAAGCAGGCAGACTAATATTTGCAAATCACATCTCCTTGGCGTTATAAATGGTAAGAACGTACAAAGGGATTGCTCTCCTTCAAGGAAATGTTTGGAAACCAAGAACAAGGCAGAGCATCTCCCCGGCGTCTCCTTCTCATCATCACTTACACAGATGTTCGTAGGGTTTGCTGTTTCCCATTTCAACCCAGTTGGTGTTGCTGTAGAATTTCTGGAGAATATGGAGGACTTTCCCAGTGTTTAAGCGCGCCGACTCCAAGGTGGATGAGCTGACAGTACCTTTCAGGCCAGACAGCACAGAGTCCCTCAGGTTTCGGAGTTGGTTAATACCTGCGAGTTGAAATTAGGGAAGAAGAGGTTCAAATCAAGGTTTCTTGTTACCCCCCACATTCTTGATTTCAAACATGAGAAGTTACGCTCTGTTTTCCAGTCTGAACTACAGGCAACGATCCCTCCTTTTCAGGAATGTCTTACTTTTGAAGCTAAGATTGGAGCATGGGCGGGAGAAAAAAGGGGGCCCAGCTGCAATCTTAAACAGTATTGAATCTCAAAGATTCTGCCATCTGTGTAGGTGAAAAGCTGGCATTAGGGACCAGATCCACTGGAACAGAGGAAATGACTTTGTTCTAGTGCTGAGTGAAGAAAGTCTGGTGTAGGCTGCTGCAGTCAGAGATATGCTAGAGCTTGGATAAAGTTAATTTTTGGCAAATAACGTTGACCCCCATCCCCCAAAACACACTTCTTTAATATTTTGAATATTGTGGAATTACCACATAAGGAGGCTTTGTCTATGGCAATGCTCCTTCTGAACTCGGTCCTTCTCCCATAGGGAGCCTCCCACAGCCTCTTGTCCTCCCTGTGTGTTGGCCAACACTGCCCATCATCCTAGGGCCAGTATGACTTTGCTGACCAGGGAGGCTGGGAGATGGAGTCTAACACATCTTCAGAGTGCCATTTTGGGTAAGGCAGCTCTGCTTTGTAAATCCTTTCTGGGGTTGAACTGGAAATAGGTTTTCTTGCTGGGATTGGGGAGGAGTTAACAGGTTCTGAATGGAGGAGTGACTGAAGCAAAGCTTGAGAAAGCTGGCCTTCCAGAGCACTGCTTGCTCGTGTAATCTTCATGCAGCTTTTGAGAACTATACTGCAGAAGACCAGTTCTACTCCCAAACTCCTTGGCTGAGGAAATGAGAGAGGGCCTTCTGGGTGAAGAATGTACTGCCTCGAGAAGGCCAGGTTGGCCCCCTTCCTCTTGATCTTCTGTTGTCGGGCAAAGACTTTTCTTTCCAGGCTGGCTTTTAAGTGATCAGTGTCCAAGGAATGTCCTATTTTGTGAAATTTAGATATTTTTAATTGCTTTTTAAAAATGTTTTAAAAACTCTTCTTAATCCTGTCCAGTCCTTGTTAATGCATAGTTTTTATGACATTTTAAAAGTCATTACCACTGTATGGTTTTAATTGCTCTGAGCTGTCTTGGCTCCCCTATGAGGCGAAAGGCAGCATAAAAATAAAATACAATGAATGGATGACTGAAGGAAGGAAGGATGGAAGGAAGGAAATCAATAAGAAGTAAGTTATATATGCCAGGTCCAGAGATGGCATACATCTCACTCTCTATTGAGACAATTTTTCTGGACCAGGAGGGCTGTGATTGCCGCCTAGAGTGGTCTTAAGTGACTAGATAGGCGGGATATAAATAAAATAAATAAATAAAAATACAGTGGTGCCTCGCATAGCAAGGTTAATCCGTTCTGGATTAACCTTCGCTATGCTGAAGCATCGTTGAACGGGGCAGGGATTTCCATTGGAACGCATTAAACATGGTTTAATGCGTTCCAAATGGGCCAAATACTCACAGTTCAACGAAGCTTCGTAATGGCCGGCAGCCATTTTCACGCCCGCGCCTCACTTAACGAGGGCGCGAAAACGCTGCGCGCGGCCATTTTGGGCCATTTCCGGGCTTCCGGCGGCCATTTTGTCCGCCTAACAGCTGATCGTCGGGCTTCGTTTTGGGCAAAGCGAATTTTGCCCTATTAAAAAAAGTTGAGCGATCGCATTAGCGATCCGGAAAAACAGATCGCTATGCGATTTCATCGTTATGCTGTGCGCTCGTTAAGCGAGGCACCACTGTAAATAAATTGCTACAGCTCCAAAGTTCTCCCCAGTTGCTTCATGGCTTGCCTCATTTTTGCCTCTACCAGCAGCATCTCTTTAGACAGGTTTCTGCATTCCTCTTCCAAGGGCTGACTTCTCTTTTCGGCTTTAGAGAGGTAGGTCCTAGACAGGCCCTTGAGTCACCCTTCCCACAGACTGTAGCACTGTAATTTTCAAGCCTGTCTGTGTTAGCGCAGACTCAGTGTAGCCCACTGGTCCTTTTAAACATTTCGTTTCCTTCTGAACTCCCCACTTACAACCCTTCTGCTCAACACCACCAGGTATATGGACATGTACCTGTCAAAACTGGCCCATCTGATGTTTTTGGGGCAACATGCTAACAGCTGGAAATGGATGAGACATGCCATCCCTCTTTATTCATTCATCTCTGAGTTCCTCCTCACACCTAATGGCAAGTGCTTTCTTATATCCCTGTCCTCAACAATGGGCACCTCCCTCTGTCTCCTTGCTTACTTTTTTTATTTAAATCAGTGGTCAGGGAACAGGGGTAAATTACCCCAAATGGGGCAAAAATGAAAATCCTGGGGGGTAATGAGGATGAGCAGAGCCCCAATATTGATGCTCTCATATCCAATATGAAGCAACATCATTTCTCCTAAACCTGAAGTTTTCAAGTAAGTTGAAGCTTTCAAAGTAATTTTGAATAGATTCAATAAGATTTTGAATTTAAATAATGTATGATTTCCTTCCTTTCAAATCAAGGGGGGGTAAAAGGTTAAAAAGTTCCCTCACCCCTGATTTAAATTAAATTAACCAAAGGAAAAATACCAATAACAAAATCAAAATTAAAACTCAAAATACAAACACAATACACATTGAACTTTTCCGACCTGTGCCACCTTCACCCTTGGGACCAAGTGACCAATAATATCAATCTGTACCCTTTCCCACCCCATTCCTCTCAAAAAATACTATAGCCTTTCCGCTTCGAAAAGACATACTCCAAGTACGAATTCCATACATCTTTAAAATCGTTAGACTTTACCATTCCTCTTCTTCTTTTCATTTCACATGTTAGCCTATCATTAACTGCTAAACTCCTTGCTTACTTTTGGTGAACTCTTCACAGTAGAAAAAGAAGCTGCTGTCTTTGCTGTGGTCTGCCTCTACTAGATTATTCCCCGAAATAATTTCCTGAATGGCTTTGACAAATCGACTGGGGGAGACATCCGCTGTGCAAGGAAGAAGGGCGAAAGCATTGCAGTTAATCCATGAAATCTGAATATGCAATCATACATGTTTTAAAGATGGTCCTCAACCCAAGTATCTTACACACCTACCCAAAGGTCTGAGAAGGGTGACCTTCTAAAGATGGTTGAGCTGTAGCTTCCATAACCCTCCCCCCTTCTAAAGATCCCAGCTAGACTAGGGCTGATGGGAGTCTTAATACAATGATATCTATAGGAACACATTTCTCCCTTGGAGATCACTTCCTTGTAATGGATCCCATGGTCCATAGTTGACCTGACGTTGTACAGTACCAACGGATTTTCCCTGTCTCTACTCTGAACGTGTCACGGGTGGGGGAGGAGATAAAAGATGATAACTTTATTTCTTTTAACATTGTAAGCTGCTTTGGATCCTAGGAGAAAGGTGGCATATAAATATTTAAAATAAAATAAAATAAATGAGATAGAGAGAGGAGGATCCTACGGGTACATGCCACCCGTGAGTGGGAAAGAACAATGTAAACAAGACTTAAGAAAAATAGCTTTTAATGGTGTGGAACGTAACTCTTAAATTTGAAAGGAACAATTTTCAGGTGAATCCCATGCTCTTCCAGCACAAAGGAGAACAAAACTGCTGGATAGCTCAGTGGTTTAGGTCTCTGGGTTGGGAGTTCGATTCCCCACTGGGCCTCCTAGACAGGGGGTGGGCTTGATGATCCCTAGGGACCCATTCCAGCTCTACAGTTCTAAGGTGGTTATTATTATTAAGACAGCACAAATGCTTCATCTGGAAGAGCCCCTTAATGTTTTGTGCCTTAGCAGAGGTCCTCTGGGAGAAGACTCAAGACATGAAGCCACAATGACCACTAGAACCATTAAGAAAGGCATTCTGTATACCAGTTGGAGTATGGGTTTGGTACATCCAACCTTCTCTGTTTCTCTGGGAAGAAAATGGGATCCAACCTCAGTGCCTGGGAAAACATTGGGAAGGGGAGCTTGCTGAGGTCGTGGTGGATTTTGGGGAGTTGTAGTCTAGAAGCAGGTTTCCAAGCTCCACTAAATACTTGCAGGAGGAAAGGCTGAAATGTGGAATATCCAGGACACTGAGGTCTAGTTGCATGTAGCAAGAAACATCCCCTTCCCGCCCCATCCTCCTATCTCTTCTGCCCCCCCTACCTTGGAAATAAGCCTTGAAAAGCCTGGTAGCCGTCAGCGGCTCCATGTTTTCCAGCTCTCCTGGGCTCATGGGAGGTTTTCCAGGGAGGGGGTTCTTCTCCATGTACGAAGCAACAGCCCGCAGCACCCCCATTTCTGTGATGTCGGCATCCGTGAAGTCGCCGGGGGGGAGGCTGCCCGATTCACGGTTGGGTCGGAATCCGATCACAAAGCCCAGGCAGAGGAGGTACGGGAGACCTTTGGGGAGCAGCATGGCCCTCTCCTGCTTGGTCACAGGGCTCTGGAAAAGGGCAGGGACAGGAAGGCCGCTTGGCACTCGGCTGCGTCTGCGTCTGCTGGTCTGCCTTTGGCACTGCTGTATAAATAGCTAGTGTGGCACAGGGGGAAATCCCCAGCTCCTTGGAGCATTTCCTTAGATAAAGTAGAAGCACAAACAAATTCCAGGAAATCCTGACTTCTAAACACCTGCTCTGACATGGCTCAGTCAAAGTGAGAGACCTGGCTTTGGAGCCAGAGGTCAAGAGTTCGATTCCCCACTGTGCTTCCTTGATAGAGGCTCAGTTGGATGGTCCATTGAGTCCCTTCCAATGTTGCAGTTCTAAGACGATAATTTACCACCAATTCCTCTCTAAAGGGTTGCTGTCAGATGTATTGGATCCAGGCTACTTCTGTGCCTCTTTCAGTCAAAGTGAGAGACCTGGCTGTGGAGCCAGAGGTCAAGAGTTCGATTCCCCACTGTGCTTCCTTGATAGAGGCTCAGTTGGATGGTCCATTGAGTCCCTTCCAATGTTGCAGTTCTAAGACGATAATTTACCACCAATTCCTCTCTAAAGGGTTGCTGTCCGATGTATTGGATCCAGGCTACTTCTGTGCCTCTAAGACAGGGTTTTCCCAACCTTGGGGCTCTGAATGTTCTTGGCCTACAGTTCCACTTTCACCAGCTAGTAGTGAAGGCTTCTGGGAGTTTTAGTCCAGAAACATCTGGGGACCCAAGGTTGGGAACCACCGCTTTTAGAGTTGTACAACAGAACTCCCGAGGGTGCATCATTTCCCCAGTCAGGGAATACAGGAATAGGGCATTTTGCTGCCTGAGGTAAAGGACAAGAGGGAGCTTCTCATTCTTCATGCACAATTTGAGTTTGTCAGCAGTTGAATCTCACTTCAACACTCCAGTGGTAAGGTGTGAAGCTCTGTCACATTTAAGAGGCTCCATAGTTCGTTCGTTCACTCGTTCTTTCTTTCTTTCTTTCTTTCTTTCTTTCTTTCTTTCTTTCTTTCTTTCTTTCTTTCTTACTTACTTACTTACTTACTTACTTACTTACTTACTTACTTACTTACTTACTTACTTATTTTTCTACTTATTTACTGCCTATCTGGCCAGAGGGCAAAAAGATTAAATTTAATTTGTGGTTTTTGTATTTAAAGAGATCTCCCTGAGGCACTCAACTGGAACCTAATTAATTAGACTGCATGCAAATCTGGTACTGGCAATGCCAGCAAGAGAGAAATGGTCAGACTCCTGTTGCTGATTTATGTCTGCATAAGGGAAACCGCATAAGTCTTGGCACCAAAATGCCACCCAGTAAACTGGCAATGCCAGCAAGAGGGAAATGGTCAGACTCCTGTTGCTGGTTTATGCCTGCATAAGGGAAACCGCATAAGTCTTGGCACCAAAATGCCACCCAGTAACAAAGTGTTGGTTGCTTTCCTGGTTGCAAGCCTTTTATACGTCCAGGAACCCAACCTGCACCTCATTAATGAGCAGTAATTTGCCATAAAGCTTTACATAGTTTTCCTTTGTTGTTGTTATGAGCCACCAAATCTGGATTCTTTTAGACTCTGGAGTTAATGGCAGAGCTTGGAAAAGTTATTTTGGGGGACTGTAATCATGCTGTCTGAGGAATTAGAGGATGTGTTTTAAAAAAATAATATTTCAGCCGCTGCTTAATGGTCTTATTCTATCTCTGCATTTCCAATACTTTAATATAAAGCATGCAAACCGTGCTGTATTTGGGTGCCAACTAAATAGTGGGGCTCCCATGTTCTGCCCTGAAATGAAAGTTGGTGTGCTAGAGTATATACCAGGCAGCATGGTAGTGGATCCAGGGCTTCCAGGGTCAAAGATCCAGGACTTTCTTGTTTGCAGAGATGACGACATCATCTACTGTCACCCTCACATTGTTCCTTTACAGCTCAGCTGCAAACCTAACAGTAACTGGAAGAGAAAGGGTACCGTTTATTGTTGTAAGCTACCTCCACTGTAATGCAAAGTATTTCAGGGTGCATTGGTGTTCGGTCCGAATATGAATGTGAGCCAACAAAGGCAAAGGCAATTTTAGGATGGAGTAACAGAAGTATAGTCTCCAAATACTGTGAGGTACTAGTCCCCTATGATTCTGGTTAGGCCTCATGTCGAGTACTGTGTTCCGTTCTGGACACCACACTTGAAGAAGGGTGCCAACAAAATGGAGCAAATTCAGAGGAAGGCAACAAGGATGATCAGGGGGCTGGAAAACAAGCCCTAGGAAGAAAGACTGAAAGAATTGGGCATATATAGCCTTGAGAAAAGAAAATATGATAGCACTTTTCAAATACTTAAAAGGTAGTCATACAGAGGAGGGGAAGGATCTGTTCTTGAATATCCCAGAGAGCAGGACGCACAACAATAGGCTGAAACTATAGGAAGCCAGATTTCGGCTGAATAGCAGGAAAAACTCCCTAACTGTTACATCAGTACAACAGTGGAACGAACCATTTACCTCAGGAGGTGGTGTGAGTCCTCCAACGCTGGAGGCATTCAAGAGAAAATTGGGAAACCCTCTGTCAGGTCTGCTTTGATTTGGATTCCTGACCTGAGCAAAGGATTGGACTCTATGGTCTTATAGGCCCCTTCCAATTCAATGTCTCTATGATTCTATGATTTTAATGGGTGATTTAAAGCCACTAGCTTTACAACGAGCTTTAAATATTATTTAAAATGTTTTTATCCTGCCTTTCTACTTAGAAAGTACCCAAGGTGGCTGACGTTCTGGAGTCTGGGAGCCGCCACAGAGAAGGCCCTGTCCCGTGTTCCTGTCAAAGCCACCTGTGAAGATGGTGAGATTTAGAGAAAGGTCTCTCCTGATGGCTTTAATACCCGGGCAGGCTCATGAAGGGAGCGATGGTCTTTTAGATAGCTTGGATCCAAGCCATTTAGGGCTTTATAGATGAAAACCAACGCTTTGAATTGTGCCTGGAAACAAATCAGCAGCCTGCGGAGCTGCTGTAACAGAGGAGTTATAGGTTCCCTGTCATCAGTCCCACTTAACAATTTGGCCGCAGCCTTTTGGACCCACTCGAGTTTCCAAATACTTCCCAAAGGCAGCCCCACATAGAGCATGTTAATGCAGTAATGGAGCTGAGTAATGCAGCTGAGATGCAACTAAGGCATGTGTCACCATGGGCCAGATCAGACCTCTCCAGGAATGGGCACAGCTGGAACACAAGTTTTCATTGTACAAATGAGACATAACTATACATACAGCCACTGGATGTACAATATAGTAAAACAGTAGCTCCCAATGAACTATGGGAAGACAGCCATTGTTTGAAAAGCGTAAAGACACATACAGTATTTACCTTCCCTTCCTCTGCCTCTAGCATTATAAACCAGTAAAACGATAAAACTTAAGACATTTTTCTGACCTCCCTGAAATATATTAGATCCTGGGAAAGAGACTGGAAACAAATACAGTATGAAGTCAAATGAATCATTTATGGCTTTTTTATGTGTTTTCCTTATATAACTATGCATACATCCTTGATTAGACTCTCCTTATGTGCTGTTGTGTATTGACCGTCTCGGATAACCAGTATAAATGTGGTTTCCTAACCCTCAATGCACCTTGTTAAAAATTCTTACGAGGAAAGTCTCCACACAAAAACACTCACGGCCACTGCCGAAACCTGGGCATCCAAGTTCAGAGACAAAATCAGGAGCACCCTCCCCCCAAAGCCGTGCACTTGTGTTTTCAGAGGGAATATAACCCCACCCAGCACGGGCTGAATCCCTATTTCCTCCTCTGCCTTCCGGCTGCCTAGGAGCACCTCCATCTTGTATGGATTAAGTTTCAGTTGATAGTATTCACCCTCATCCAGTCCCTTACTGATATTGGACACTGATCTAGAGCTTAAATGACTTCCATGGATTTAGGCTTATCCAAATCTAGGGAGTACGGAATAGAAGATGAACAAACACAGGAAATGTATTCTTGAAGGCTTTCATGGCCAGGAAACACAGGAAACTCCGTATTGCAGCTAAACAAAACTTAGAACATTAGTGTATAATGTACAAAAATATCAACAAAAGCGTATCAACAAATTATATCTAACCGTCAAACAATATATGTTAACAATGTTCTGTCTGATACTAAGCAAGTAAATAATATGATAAAGTTTTCCAATATAAATGTGTGCGGTCCAGTGTTCCTACTCATGAAATATCAAAGTCTAAAGTCTGGAAGTGCTGAGTAAAAAGTCCATTCAAATACGTAATCAAAGTCTTGGATCCTTGGTGTAACTGACGAGCTCCGAGCATAAATAATTGTCCACAAAACTCGTTTTGTGGTATTTTTACATCTTCAGAAGATATCCCTTGGACCTCCAAAATGCTGGAAACTTTCATGAACCTAAAATAGTTTTCAAACGCAATAATAATAGACCTCATTTTGGTGGTCATACCACTATTAGGTAATGTAAACAGTATAATACTGCTGACATCAAATCCAAAAACTCCAGACAGCCTCTCCCAGTGGTTTCAGGTGGATGTTAAATAGTGTAGGGGACAAAACAGAACCCTGAGGGACCATACTAGCCAACAGTCGAGGTGTTAAACAGGATTCCCTCGGTACCACCTCCTGAGTTCTTTCCTCTAGGGAGGACCAAAGGCATTGTAGAAGAGCGCCTCCAAGCCCCTTCCCAGAAAGATGGCCCAGGAAGGCACCATGGTCAATGGACTCTACTCACCGTGGCCATAGTTACGTGGGCTGTCATAAGCAGCACCTCTGCTTCCAAATAATACCCCTGCCTCAGTGATACAAGGTGTGGACAAAATGGACCATACTAGCCAACAGTCAAGGTGTTAAATAGGATTCCCTCGGTACCACCTGCTGAGTTCTCTCCTCTAGAGAGGACCAAAGGCATTGTAGAAGAGCGCCTCCAAGCCCCTTCCCAGAAAGATGGGCCACGAAGGCACCATGGTCAATGGGCTCTACTCACCGTGGCCATAGTTACGTGGGCTGTCATAAGCAGCACCTCTACTTCCAAATAATACCCCTGCCTCAGTGAT